AGACCAAAATATAGCCAAAGATTGCAGTGCCACAGCACTAGCGAAAATTTAAATTTGCCGACTAGAAGGCTTTCGGATAAACGACGCTCTACTATACTGTATATAAAAATGAATGTATGTCTGTGTGTCTGTCTTTCCTTCATACATTACCACACCGTTTATCCGATTGCCATATAACTTTGGAAAGTTGTTTAATATACTCCCGCAAAGGTTTCTGGCATAGTACATTTATCCTGTGATAGATGGCGCAAATGTATACGAGCATTTCATCATGAGATCAATATATTTCAAATTATGAAGACCGTTTCCCCTTCCAAAAAATATCTCTATATATGCATTTGTGAACTGTTATTTACGATATTTGTAATAATTTTTGTTTAATCACTTTATTTCAACTATTTTTTGCTAATTATGTATTTGCTCGAACTTTGTTAAAACCTTAACTGTATCCCGAACAACAACCGAAGTTGTAGGAGGAAATTCGCCTATTTTATCGATCTAGGGATCCCCTTTTCCAAATTTTAATATCAATTCAAAATAATTTAAAAAGACAAATTATAATAAAACGATTTATTATCCAACTATCAGAAATTTTACAACATGCCAAGGAAGAGAGGAAGGAGCAATTAAATAATTAAAATTGTAAAGGATTAAAAAATGTATATAAAAATGGGGATTATATCACTTCTGACAATTGTTGCAAGTGTGTGGGCTAGATTTGGAGAATCCATTCTTCTCACATGGACTATGTGGCTATATCTACTGTATGTGGCCAGCTCATGCGTTGGAAAACCTTTTGATTTATTTGTGTACGCACCAGATGGAAAAACAAAAAATATCGTGTATCCACAAGCACTCCAATAAATAGAATTGAAACGACACATTGAAATGTTTTCCCAATGAAAATTAATAATAATAAGTTTCAATAAAAATGATAAAATGTAAATTGAATTTTATCATAACGAGTTTGCTTGAATTTCGTTTCCTCTGAGATCGCAGCAATGCGCGACGGGTAAGCTAGTGTAAAATAAAACTCAATGTCACTTGAAACACATTCTATTTTATTCTGATTTTGTTTATATATAATAACAAGAAATGAAATAGTGTTGTTTATTCTGAACTTTAAAAATATTTATTTAATGTTAAACTATTTTATGATGAGTTTATCATTATTATGAGCTTACCATTAGACACTGCTTTTCATTCAGATTCATTACATGGATTTTTTTCCATTCCATCAAATTGTATATTTGTTGGTAAAATTTATAGTTTTACTCCTGTTGTAAGGGGGTTGTCCATAAATGATGTCCACACTGGAAGCGAGGGAGGGGGTTAACCCCTCTCTTAAGACAAGTCGGACAAAGGGGTTTAGCATTAGTGGACATTCATTTATTTCATGAAATTTTATACAGTTTATGCATTTTATTATATTTATTTCAAAGTTTCTTGTATGTTTCATTTCTACATATGGTATCTATCATTCATAGTGTTGAAGGTTTTAACGGGGATTGCATTATGTTGGACATCCAAAGAGGAGAAGGGGTTACAAAAACTTGGACAAACTGGGACAAGAGGGGGGAATAAAAATTTCAAGAAAAATGCAGATGTAATTTATGGACAACCCAAGTGCTTAGACTGCAGAAATGGACATACACCAATTTCGTAATCAATTGTTATGCAATGTCATTTACCAATGAATTTTTAATTGATCAAAGTGTATGGTTATTTTAAAATGCTAAATGTGACTTGCTTCTAAATGAAAAGTTTACACTAAATTGTATGTATATTATGTGATTTCTCGATTTTTTCAAAAAATGGACTTGCACCATTTTAAATATAAACAGTCCATATATATAATCGAGATGGGGTAATAATAGTGCATGCTAGTAAAGTCTATGGGGAGAAATGAAGCTAAGAGTGACCATACCCACATTCTGTGGAGATATTTATCATGGTAGTAACCAGATCAAAGTGTGATACCGGCTTGGACGTTGCCCGGGTTAACAAGGTCTATGTTCGTGGGTTACGCAGAGGCTCACGTTTGAAAAATAGGCTCCAGTCTCCCTTGGTTACCAGTGGCGAAAGCAGTGCCAGCCCAAGCATGGCTACTGCAAAGCCCTCAACAGATGTGAGGAATCAACCTAGCCTTGGTGTTTCTGTGGCAATGCATCTACAGACCACAAAGGCTGGAAAACCATGCCAACGGATGAAATGGACAATAGAAATGATTGAGTTTATCACCTGTACTTACTATGCAATCGCAAAACTCAAAACAAACATGACAGCATACAGACAACAACTACACCATAGATTCACACAACAATATCCTCACCTCACTGTCACCGAACAAAGGGTTGTCAATCAAAAAAGAACAATTATACACAACAACCTAATCCCACAAACAACACTTGAACTTATCAAACAACAGGTTGCTGATCAAATACATCAACAGACAGAAACATTTAATATTAATGAAGATCATGTAACCTGTCAGGATAATACAGCAACAAGCATTGATAATAGTACACATACAACAACTACCATTAATGATACTACAGACACTTCCTCATCCATCACTGATAACATAGATATAGATTTAGTTAATACACTCTCATTTATATTTCAGGAAACACTCATTAAATATACAGGTACAGATCCCACACAAAGACCACAAATACCGAAAATCAACACGTCAAAGGAAGTAGGAAAAACACTAAATTATGTAAACACTCACTACCACACTACATCCATTCAATTTCTACACTCTCAGACATTCATACATTAGTTTATGCTGGGGCAGTCACAGTAGTGACACACCATGCACTGAAAATACAATTGCATAGATACACACAAAATACAATCTATCACAAGCCTGCCTGGCAGAGAAGAATAGAAACACAAATAAATGACATTAGACAGCAATTAGGCAGGCTGACACAATACACTAAAAACAACATAACACCCAAATTAAAGAAACAACTCAAAAACATTTTCAAGAAAATCAAAACACACACAAAACATGAACATCACAACACACACATTACAGAATACATTGATACACTAAAACAAAAACTCACAGCCAAAGCATGTAGACTCAAACGATACAAAACATGTTCACTATGAAAACAACAAAAAATAAATTATTCACAAACAATGAAAAACTCTTCTACAGACAAATCAGTACCAAAACAAACACTGATACACAGCAAAGTGGCATAGCAACAGAAGAAGAACTCACAACTTATCGATCTTCTCTTTGGTCTAGTGCTGTTATGCACAATGCTGATGCAGGCTGGATCGAGGAGAACAAAAACTTGCATAACATAGCAACTATGCTCTGTGCTGATATAAACGTATGCGACATCTGCTATGCTGTTAACAGAACAGACAACTGGAAGACACCTGGTGTAGACAACATTCACAATTTCTGGTACAAAAAATTTACATCACTGTACCGGGAACTAGCTAAACACCTAACTCATCAATCCACAAGACATGCCAAAATTTCTTACTCGGGGCATCACCTACATGAAACCTAAAACCAACATCGCAGACCTTACACGATACAGACCAATTACATGTCTTCCAACACACTACAAATTATTGACATCATGTATCACAAACAAAATATACAAAAATGTTGAAGAATACGACATTCTTACAGAACAACAAAAAGGTTGCCGTAGAAATCATGGGATGCAAAGAACAGTTACTGATAGATTCAGTCATTCTATGGCAAGCACACAAACAACACAGAAACATACACATGGCATATATAGACTACAGAAAAGCATTTGACAGTGTTCCACACAGTTGGCTGTTACATATTCTACACATGTACAAATACATTTATTGCTCATTGCATTCTTTCAAAACACTGCAGCACGTAGTGTTGTTCTCCAGTGCTGCACAGTGTTTTGAAAGAACGGGTTAGTAACACTTCCATACAAACAAATGAAATATTCATTAGGTGAGGAATTTTTTTAAGGAAATTCTTTGAGTCAGGGGTGCACAACCTGCAACCCGCGGGCCACATACGGCCCCTTATCAATGTTTATGCGGCCCGCGGACAGTACAGGCCAAATCCCTTCTTTCGAAGTTTCAAGTGTAGAACTTTTCCCTTTCACAAAGTCATTAGCACCCAACTGTTTTATAACTCCCTGAAGTGAGAAATGGGGGGGTTGTTCTATAAATAAATCTATTTCTAGCTAACACTTTCTGGTTTAGATATCGAATATTCTAAGTCTAATACATAGTATTATAACGATTTTTTGAAGAATCAAATAAAATAAAATGATGTTAGAACGTCATTTCCAATGTTATCAGGAAGTTTCTATTTTGGCGGGAAATCTTCAATTTTATGCTTCGGAAAACTTGCTTATTCATCTAAATAGCGTCAAATAACAAAAATAAATGAAAATAGCGCTGAAAAACTATGAAAATAACGATTTTTTATGATTTGTTTACATTCTAGATTCTGATTGGTATTGTCGAATTTGAATCAATCTTTTCTGAAAAGACGCTTATTCGTCAACCTAATGTCATTCAAACTAGAAAAAAACTAACCAGAGTTCAAAAAGGAATGTACAAAAAGCTATAAAACCAATAATTTACAACAATATCTCTCCATAGACAAAGAATAGAAAAAAAATTTTTCACATCAAATTTATTATTATTAAGTTGGACCAAGAAAATTAATACTGTAGTTGGAATAGAGTCATTACGACTAAAAGGAAGCCATTTGCATTAAAATATTTTGGATTTAATAATTATTACAAACCGCGTCAAGCCATAAACTTGTCAACAAAGAGGGTTGTAAAATGATTCCGTGTAGCTAGAAAGCTGCGGTTTTTTTTGTTTGAAAGAAAACAGATATATTTAGGTTATTTAAGTAGTAAATTAATTGGAACTTTTTATTTACTTTTATTTTTACATTCTTTTTTTCGTAAATTTAAAATTAAATTATTATTTTTAATTTTTATTTTATTTGAAATTTAACAGTCGTAAACTGTGATATATTTAGGACAGAAAAAAAAAAACAGATTGATTCTAGCGCCAATTTGAAACGAGATATCGCAATTTTAATAATTATATTTAAAATATTCAGATTTTCCACTGCACTGTGTTAATCACTTTTGATTCATTTCTGAACACGGGGGTAAAACTGACGGGCCATAAATATAATTTAGGTAAGAATGGTAACCACATTTATGATGGATTAGTGTCCTGCACCTGGCATGTTGACGATCTGACTCACAAATTCTGAGAAATGGTGGAGACGCCCGGACAGGGGTCAAACAAATTAAGACCTGCCTGGCCACGTGTGCGTAATAGTCTTCTGTCCCCGCCTCTTTAGTCTTTGGTCAGAGTGGATACAGAACAAAGCACGTGGTAGTCTAGCTTGCCTTATCTCAAACATGATTTGTTGCGGGCCTCAGAATTTTCGGCACAATGAGACATTGTTTTGCAGAGTGAACAGTATGGCGCCGGGCATTAAACGCAAGGTCAATCGCGAGAATCATCAGTTTCAAGAAGTGGAAGTGTGGACTAACAAGTACTGTTTTGTGCAACAGAACAACAGCATTATTTGCCTTTTGTGCAATGGAACAATAGCAGTGCCAAAAGAATTCAACCTGAAGCGACATCATGAAAGCCAACACAAGGATTTCCTTCTGCAAGGTACGGAACGCAAACGGAAAATCGAATCGTTACGACGATCACTAATCAGCCAACAAAATGTGTTCAAGAAACAATCTGGAGAATTGGATGCGGCTGTTGAAGCCAGCCTAGAAATATCTGCTTTAATAGCCAAGAATGGGAAACCTTTCACAGATGGCGATATGATAAAAAAGTGTCTTATCATCGCAAGTGAGATGTGTCCTGAGAAGACAGTGTTTTCAAACAATCAGTCTTAACCACATGACGATACAACAAAGAATCTCGCAAATTGCATCAGACATTTCTGGCCAACTTAATATTTTAGTTGCAAACTGTGCTTATTTTTCTTTGGCTGTGGACGAATCCACTGACATATCATCAACAGCACAAGTGATTGTGTTTATTAGAAGTGTTTCACTAGATTTTATTGTGAATGAAGAATTTCTTGGCATGGCATCACTTTCTGGACATACAACTGGTGCTGACTTATTTACTAGTTTATTGAGCGTTTGCAACAAATCAGCACTGGACTTTGACAAGCTATCCAGCATTGCCACTGATGGAGCACCATCTATGGTTGGATGTGAGAATGGCATGGTCACCTTGCTGAAAAACCACCTTGGGGACAGGCAAAAGGAGTTAGTCCAGTATCATTGCATAATTCACCAACAGCAACTTTGTGCAAAGAAGCTGGGATTTGAACGTCTGCTGAAAGATGTCTATGATACTGTGAACTTAATCCGCCGTCATGGACTCAACCATCGACTCTTCACATCATTTCTTGAAGAAATAGATGCTGATTATGCTGACCTGCCCACGTATACTGAAGTTCGTTGGCTGAGCAAGGCAACAGTCCTCAAGAGATTTGTGGAGCTATTGGGGCCTATTATCACTTTCCTCAAAGAACGGGGGAACACTACAAGGAATTTGGAGGGACAAAGATGGCAGTGTGATTTAGCTTTCCTTGCTGACATTACTGCTTATCTAAACGACCTTAATTTGAGATTGCAGGGAAAGATGCAACTTGTTTCTCAGTTGACAAGTAACATCAATGCATTTATGACCAAACTATCACTTTTCAAGTCCCACATGCAATCAGAGAACTTTACACACTTTCCACATTGCAAGGCCATGAAAGAGAAATACCCACATATGAAGATGGATTACTCTGACCAAGTTAACACCCTCCTTACATCATTCAATGAGAGGTTTGGTGAATTCCAGAAATACAAGATCTACCTGCAACTTTTTTCAACTCCATTTGATGTGAAAGTGGAAGATGCCCCTCCAGATGTCCAACTTGAGTTGATAGACATCCAGTGCAGTGATGAATTGAAATCACAGTTCAAAAATTCTAATCTCCTCACATTCTACAAAGAACTGCCAGATACATCATTTCCAAAACTGAAAGACAATGCTCGATTTTGTGCAAGCATGTTTGGCAGTACCTATGTATGCGAACAAGCATACATAGGTACTGCCAAACAAGCTTGCAAGTTTTCGCTTATGAATTTAAACAAGTGCAAAACACGGAACAGGTTAACCAACGAGAATTTGGAAAATCTGCTGGTTATTTCAACATCTGCCATTACACCAGACATAAAGAAGATTGCCGCCAGCATCCAAATCTCAGCCATCGCATTAATCGCTTGGAGGTCCGGCCCCCAGTCAGTAAACTTAATCCTAATTTGGCCCTTCTTCACAAAAGGTTGTGCATCCCTGTTTGAGTCCACTCTGGTTCTGCTTAGCCTTGAACTCATTATGGCCACGTTTCTTTATGCAGCGCTCGAGAAACGCTTTACAGCAAACACTCTGTATCCCATTTCTAAATGCAGTGCTGCAATGTAGAGAACCGTTTCTAAATGTTTGCTGCAAGAGGTCGCTGCAGCGAAGATAAACCAGCTTTTATGTCTGCTACACGTGTAAAACAAAATGGACGCTTGTGTGTATAATACGATATTATGCTGTAAAAATAAAAAAGTCGAAGTGACTGTTGATAAAAATATTATGGAAAGATTAAGAAGGATTAAATTTTATGAAATGACTCTGAAAGTTATCTAAAGAATAAGAAAATACTATATTTTAAATATAATTATATATCTTTTATCTCTACTTTGTTCACATTTATGGAAAGATAAATGCTCGATTCTTTATATCTCTTTATTTAAATATTGTAGTTCTTTAACTAAAGCACTATTTTCGGCTGTAACTGGAATTAAAGGATAGATTA